TTGAGACGGGATCTACTCCGTACACTGCCGGGCCGGCTCCCCGGGGCTCCACGAGTGGGTTGCGGGAGAATCTGCGGGGGCTCGGCCTCCGGGGCTCGGGTGGGAAGAGCGTCCCCCAGCCCTGCCTCCCGGCTCAGCCGAAGCAGCTGGGCTGGGCCGGGTCCACCCGCGATCGCGATCGAGGCGCCCTGCAGTCGCTTCCACGGAACCGGGCGGCGCGGTCCGACGCAGGTTGTTACCTGTGATTGTAACGCGAGGGCCCTCTCGCCCTCCTCCATGGTCTTTGGAAGATCTTTATAAGCATTTTAAAAATAGAAACAGGGAGCCGCCCCCTGCCCGCCCCCGAGTGAGCGCCGGCGCCACACCCAGTCTTCTGGGAACTTCGCCTTGGCCTGACTTCCCACCGGGGCTCCTAAATCAGCTGCTCCGTCCCGGAGCCCATGCAGCGCTTGCCTCCTGCTCCGGTCTTACGCAACAGCCCATTTCATCTGCCGGGTGAATTCGGAGAACTTACTTGAACTTGTTTTTAAAGCCAAACGGAAAGATTCAATCCGGCCGCCTTGCACAGACTCAAGGGAGAGCGCAACTGCGGAGAAAGGAACTGAGTTTCTCCCTGGGCTTAGGAAAAGTGCATTTTCAGTGTGCCCCGGTAGAAGCCGCCCTAAACCAGAGGGTACGACCGCGGGGGCGTGGAGGGCATTGCAGAAGTCGTTGTAAAGGACGTCACCATTTTGCAGCCTTTGCAAAATGCACTTACAAGTCCGGCAGTAGCCGCTTGCACTTTACTTAAGGAGACTTCCTTCACTCGGTTTGGAAAAATAGGTTTGTGACCTGTTCTTTGGAAATCTGCATTAATTTGCCCATTCCAGGAACATTTGTGTCGATAGTGTGTTTCCCGGACTGTCCACTAACCTATATAACCACAATCGTGGCTATATATTAATAAAGATGAGGCACTAGTTTCCTTTTTCATATTTGTGAAATATAGCATTTTAGGAAGAAAATGAACAGAAGTAAATAGCAGGATTTTTATGTGGGACTTGGTAAAAAACTATGTTTCAGTGTTCTTTTTAAAATTCTAACAAAACACAAAGTAGTAAAGGAAGATAATTAAATATTGAATTTAAATAAAGCTTTAAAAAAGTTTTTCAGTACTGGAGATTGGATCCAAGAACTTCTCACTGAGATACATCCCCAACCCTCTTAAAGTTCTCATCTTGAGAAGGGTCTTGCTAAGTAGCTAAGTTGCCCAGGCTAGGCTCCAAATTACAATCCACCTGACTCTGCCTCCCAGAGGGCTGAATTACAGGGCTGTGCCACCTCCCCAGTTTAAAGTTAAGAGGCAACTTGAGCTGATTTCACAAGCATAACATTTTCCTTCCCAGCTCTATCAGCTTACTAGGGTGCTTGAATGAGGGTCTCATCACGCCTGGACTCACAGCCTTCAGAGGGGAGATTGCTCACATGCAGCTAGTAAACTTAAAACGATCATCATGCTAAACATGTTAAGCAAGGGCCAGGGATTTAGCTCAGTGGTTCCAGCGCCTGTGTCACTAGCACAAAGACTGGAGTTAGGTCCCCAGTACCAAAAAGAAAAGGTTAAGCAGTTGAAACCAGACTTTTCCCAATACCTGTTTTTCTTCCATAGACATATGTAGGTGTGTTATGATCATGTGTGAATTTCAAGTGTGATTAAACTTTCACACTTAGTGTTGGGGAGTGACAAAGCTATGGTGTGCAGCACGCTGTACTTTGTCAGAGCAGTTGGCCTGGATACTACAGAAAGGAAAGGAGAGAAGTAGGTGGCGCGGAGTGGGGCTGCTTCCCAGGGCCGAGCCGGCACCCCACACGCGGGTCCCTGCCCTGACACCCTGGGCCTTGGCCTGCTTCCTCCAGCCCAGACCCAGCCCCTTCTCCACTGCAGCAGCTCAGTCCCTGCCTTTGGAGTTGGATCAGCGCAGTCTATTGGACCTCGAGCTGCACCATGAGGTTCTGTGCTGCCACACACCCCTCTTAGCCATCCCAGAGGAGGCTGAAAAGGCAGCAGGCCCAGCCTTGGGATGCAGGCGTGAGCACCACCCATGCCTTCGGGCCTCAGCAGTGCTGGCGGGGGCTTCAGCAGGACTCTGCTTTCTGCTTCCTGCATCCCGGGGGAGGAAAGGGCAGACTCCCCAGTCCTTTTCCTTGCTTCTGCATGGGACCCTGGCTGCCCTAACCACCTTTCCACATCATTGTGCCAAGTGGGGCAGCGACCAGGGAAATGGGGCGCAAGGCAGAGGTGGAGGCTCTGCTGGGGGAAAGGGGAGAAAAGTCCCCCACAGCCTGGGAAGGGAGGGAAGTTTCTCAGTGCCCTCTGCTGTGGCTGCTGTGTGCGGGAAGGCTGTGTGCACACTGAGTCCGGTGTGAATTGAGACCATCTTCCCCACGTGCAGAAAGCTAAAGTCACGGCCTCTTGAAGAGTTTATATTGCACTCTGGTGTGAATGGTATGCTTTTGGTTTTGCTTGCTTGGTGTTGTGACTTCTCCAAATCTGAGCTCCTTGAACCACACTTTGAAAACAAACTACTGCTCCGGACCTCTGCTCCACCTGCCTGACGGAAACTGCTCTCACAGAGGTTTCTTAGCTGTGGTCTGGAGCTGGATCTCTCCCTCCGGGAAGCTCTGCACACAGCTGGCGATTGTGTGCCCACGGGAGTAAGACAGGCCGCCTTCGCCCCCGGTGAGCCTCCTTGGTTCTTATCCTAGGGCAGCGTCTCCTCAGAAGCCCTTTTCCACTCAGGCTCAGCCTAGGACGCCAGTGAGCTGTGGTGGCTACCAGGCCTCCCATTCAGAACCACGGAGGCTGGGGCCTAGGGGACCTCAGCCCCTCCTGGGATGGAGATGGAGCCCAGGCTGCCTCAGAACCCAAAGGAACCCTGGTGCTGCTCCCAGCCCGCTGGAGTGGGAGGAAGCTCTCTGTGAGGACAGCTGAGAAGTGCGCTGCAGGCCACAAGGTCTGTTCCCAGGGATCCCCAGCACTTCCTGGGGAGACCCCGCTCCACCGGCCCAGCTCCTCAGGACTGCGGGCCAACGCTGTCCCTCAGACAGGCGTCCCCACCCTGAGTCCGGCCCACTCCGAGCTAGAGTCGGCTTCGCAGGCCCGGCCGATGCTGGCTGCTCTGCCTGGCCTCTGTTCCCATCGTCCTTGTCGTCACTGTTGGTGTGGGAAACAAAGTCTGTTTCGTAAGATAAGCATCCGTGTCACGGTGGCTGCACATGGCACTCTTCGGTTGCAGACATTTAAATACGCACTGATAGGCTTGTCGGTTTTCTATAGAAAACATTTCTAAGATCTGTAAGTTACTAGAGAATTTATGAAAAAGAAAAATTTAAAGCGATCTTAATTGGTATAATGTAGGTCTAGCTTTAGTCAGAATTGGTATTAGAACGTAGGGCATTTTAGCTTATTGTTTACTTTTGTTTTCATTGGTACGTGATGATTCCAAAGTTCCCCCCGAGGAGTTGGTACACGGACACAGCACATCCTCATTCTTTTTATGTCCCCTTCCCCGCCCTCCCATCACACACCCTCCACCTCCATCTCTTGGTGGCTTTTCCACCAAAAAAAAAAAAAAAAGTTGCATAAATTTGCAAGTAAGTAAAATGTATACTAAAGCCAAAGGCCATCAGTACGAAGTCCCTTCCTGATTGTTATCATGCTCCGTCGTCCAGGGCCCAGTCTCAGCTGTGTGGGCGCTCAGAGCGGAGGAAATACCGCCTCCCTACAGTTCTCCCCCGCGCTGCCCTCCGGCCTCACCACGCCGGGGTGGAAGTATTCACATGGGCGAGCAGGGGCGCTACAGCTGGGGCAGGACCATCAGACTGCTTGTTAGACGCTCGCCAGCACCTGACTGTCTTGGGGCGTCATTGTGCTTCCTTACTTTAGCCACATTTTAAATTGTAAGTGAGATTTTTGTACCGCAATCTCCTCCTTCGCACATTTAACAGCAGAGCACCGGCGCGCTGACCTTGAGCCTCGGTTCGCCGGACCAGGCAAGGCTACAGCTTCCTGCCTAAGCTCAGGGCAACGCTGGAGAGGCCTCCCCTCTCCCGCCCTCCTCACGGCAGGCCACGGGCTTGGGGCACTTGGGCACAGCGAGCGGCCTCCACTCAGAGCCGCGGCTCAGCTCCGGACCAGGGCTTTCCCCTCGCCTCCAGAGAGTCACCTTGGAAATTCTCAAACGGTAGATACGGGTTTGGGCACGAAATCTGAACTTCAACAAGTGTGAGGGGAATCTCACAGGGAAACACGAGCCAAGTGCAAAGAGCACTTTGGGATTCACAGCTCCACTTCCACATTGCTCACCTCGGGACCTTGGCCAACTTACCCAGCCTTGGCTTCTTCATTTACATTAGAGAAAAAGAAAAACCTCTTCACTTTGTGTAACACAAACATGTTCACAACTTGCATGGGAGGAGAAATTTGAAACCAAATATGCTTGCATTGACAATGTGCTAAAATACTCCTGAAAACACTATTTCATTTACTGGTTGGCTACAATCACTAATACAGTCACCCTGAAAGTTGCTAAAAGTAACTTGATTTTACATTTGATGCGTCTGAAATTTAGAGATAAGTTATCCGAGGTGACTCTGATACACACAGAGCCATAATTCTGACCCACATTCATTACTATCAAAATGATGTGGCCACCGAATTATCATAACCTTGGAACCAAACTCTCATTAGAAAGATGCTTGGGCCGTGGTGGGCTCTGGTTGGCTCTGGGTATATGAGGTGCGGGCTGCAGATCCTGAGGCCACCTGCCGGCCCTCCCCACGGCCCCCTGCCACCCACTGGGGCTCACACCAGGCTGCCCTCCCATTGCTGCTTGCTTGAAACCCACATGGTAGTGGCAGTGGGTCTGGCAAAGGGAACCCTGCCCATCAACACCCTAGCTCCATGCTCAGGACAGGACTCACGGGCACCGTCTGGAGCAGCAGACCTGGGGGAAAGGGTGGGACCAGCAACAGCATCTTCTTGCCTCCAGTAATTAAATGTGGGAAGCCTTCAGCAGCCCCAACTAATGTGCGGGTGACAGACGGACATCAAGTGGGCGGCACGTCAAGAGTTCACACTCTGCTTTTAATTTGAATTGATCGCAAAGCAATTCGTTTAGTAAAGACAGTCTGAAAAACAGAAGAGGAAATGGGCTCCCAGCCCTGACGCAGAAAATGCTGCAACATTTCAGTGAGCATCGATTGGTTTTCTCTGTCAGACCTATACATTGAGGCTTTACTAGGGCCATCTGTTACCAGGCAGGGTTGTGACATCCGGTCTCACAAAATACAAAGGGTTAGAAATGTAGCTCGGTGCTAGAGGACTTCTGAGTTTAATCTCCAGGAGAAAGGCAGGCAGGCAGAAAGGAGGAAGGAAGGAAAGAAGGAAGGGAGGGAGAGAAG